ATATAAGTCTAAAATTCTGTATTGGTGCCGCCGTATTAAAAGATTTCTGGTGGTGCCACTTATTGTTTTCTCTTCACAGCTTAATGTAATTGTTTCTGTTGAGCTACTGTATGTCTTTGAATGAAAACTCTAAGCTACACATGGCGCTGATACACAAAATTATTTCATTATCTCTTATTCTGAATTTATTAGGCAATAAAATTCTGCACACAAGTATCAGCCTTCAGCAGTTTGTTTTACTTGGAACAAAAACAAAACGCATGCCCACTGGGAGAAACGCTGCCTGCTTATGGTGAACTTGTGCAGAGTGCAACAAACCCTTTACAGCCTTTTCTTTGAGGTAAATTGCCTGCAATGGGAACAAAAAAAAAACAGGCAAACTGTCCACAGACAAGCTGTATGGTGGTGGGATTAGACTGGTCTGTGTATTTGCTGATCACTGCAAGACTGGTCCTCAGTGGAGAAGGCTGTGTGACGACCACTCTGCTGTGTTCAGCAGTCTGAACAATGTGGGTGTGTGAGTATCAGGACCCGAGTGGGTCAGGAAATACCTTTGAGCTTAAAAAACTGAATTTAAAACAAGAGTGAGCTTATTTAGTTATAACAGAAATTCAACAATACAAAAAAATCCATGTGGTGAAACATGCAGCTATATCATTGTGTATTTAAACATATCAAAAACCAACACTATYTAATTATTGTATTACATTTGCATTAATGTGAAGATGTTTCTTTCCATTTCAACTCAGCTACCCCGAGTTGTTCCCCTCTTTTTATTGGATGGTGTTCCTCCTGTGGCTCTGTGGCGCTCTGCTGACATCCAGTGGCAAACTCACAGACTCCTAAAAGGAATTTAACAGTAAACATWATGAGTTAATGTCAGCCTGTCACTCTGTTTTGACAAATCTGTGTTCTGATAACATTCTCCAGCCAGTTGAGATCAGGTTTTTGTGGGTCATTTCTGCTGGGAAAAGTGGATATTTTAGCAAAAGAGATTAAAAAAACTAAAGATGAAAATTAAAATGAATAGTTGGCTAAAACAAAGTCTAAATGTGATATCTGGGAAATAAAATATCAACTTTAGCAACATTGCTGGGACAGAAAACACGTGAGAAGAAATGTAATGGGTGGAAACAGAGAAGCAATTAGAATAAATAAACAGCAAATAAAAATGATAGCGAAACAACAGACAGGCTTGTGTGAGAAGTGTCAGGAAGAAGAGTCTGTGAAACATGTTCTTTAAATCTGGAAGTATGAAACATCAAAGGAGCGGATAAAAATAAAATCAGGGACTAATGGGTGCAAAGGTTTACTCAGAAAGAATCACTGAATGTAGTTCATAAACCCCTAGATTAAACTCCGTCAAGTAAACAAAATAAATTACTAGAGGTGCTAATGACATGAAATTTTCACCAGATGTCGGTAACAACCCAAGTGATCCATACATACAAAGAAATCAATCCATAAATGTCCAGAAATGAAGTTATTTGTAATAATGTGGAATGGCACAGGGA